ATTTTTTTATTTTTTTAGGTTAGGAACCAAAATGGCCCTTCTATTCTTAAATGAGTCTTAACTTCTTTAATAAAGCATTTTTCAAAATATATTTTTTCACTAAGTTTTGTTCTTAACAAAATTACTAGTGTTTTTTTAAAACAACAATCCAGCTAGCAATTTTCAGCCTTAGTGTAATCTTTCAATTGTTAAAAATATGTATTATCCACACCACCTTAATTAGCTAAGATTATTAGGCATAGGTCAGCTAATCTTGACTTAAAACATGGAAGTATGCACTAGACTGGGATTAGGCTTGGGCCATATAATACCAGCACTATTTAGTGATCACAATTTCCCAAACTTAGAACTCAAACGAAATTTTTCCTTAGAATACTACCATTACATAGTGATCGTAAAATACCCCCTCCTAGAAGTGAAATGAATTTAGGGTACGTTTGGTACGTATGAAAATACCACTGTGAAAGTACTTTCACATGAAAGAGTTCCCTATGTGATTTGTTGTGGAAGTTTTTTCACACAAATTGGTTCCACAGTATTTTTTCACACCAATTGGAGTCAAATGGTGTGAAAATACCCCCATACCTAGTTATATGATAGAGTTTTTTTATGTGAAAATAATTTCACAGTAGTATTTTCACACGTACCAAAACTGCCCTTAGACGTAAATAGCATGTAGCCTCTTGGAACCCTTGTTGTCTCTATGTGGACATGGTTACCTGAATCCTCATGTCAATTATCTTGTAATTCACCATAAAAAAGTTATCATACGATCATTTTTTCTTTTTTCTTTCAAATAATAGGCTTGTAAATTACATACATGCATACACATATAGGGATGGGAAAATTTATTGCAAGTTGGTTAATGTATGCTTTCCACCTTAGTTTTTGATGGATTTGGGATTTGAAACGTATACTAAATCACTGCAAATGATTTCTGCAATGGATCCTATTTGTAGTTAAAAAAGTAGCTGAGATCTAATGATTCACGAGGAATTAATACACAGTGAAAAACACTCAAAATACGACTAATAAGATTCATTATCATGGTTGGCTGAGGTTATATATTAAATTAGGAAAAGGGTTGGGTCATTGTGGTAGCACCTCCAGATTTAGTCATCACGTTTTGGTTTTCAATCTTGCCAACACCACCCCTTGACATCCATTGACACCTGAAAAAAAGCTAACTCCCTAATTCATCTAAAAAAATGGGAGGGGCCTGTCTGCAGCACTAAATTACCAAAAAAAAATAAAAATAAATCAGATTTTGGAAAGCGAAAACATTCGATTAGGTGCATCGAATAATGGACAAATGCCTACCCAATAATTCATATTTATTGCAATTAGATGTAGTTGGTGGTCCTTCATCTTTAGAGATCGTTGAAAAAAAAAATTGTGATGGGGAGCCTCTTGGTGAACATGCTACAAAAAACTTTACCGAATTGGCAACCGGTCCAAATCAAGGTATAAGGGTTGAAGAGGACTCCTTAAAGTCATAAGAAGGCCAGAAAATTCTATGGACTTTGAGATGCCTGGCTGCAAATTATGGACCTTAGTGACCAATATCGACTTTGGTTTTTTTTTTTACTAATGTTAATATTTTTATTAATACTAAGAAAACGTGATTACATTATTGGAGACAACAAGAGAAGTTAAACCAACACCACCTTTAGCCAGCTCATCCGCCATAGAGTTTGCTTCATGATAGACATGAGAAAAGGTTACCGAAATGAAAGAAGATAAATCCATGATCCGTAGCCATAAAGGTCAAAGTTCTCAGGGGACACATTGCTCCTTATTATACCATTTCACCACATTAAGAGAATCGCCTTCAACCTAGCATATATAGCCACAATTCTTTTTTACAAAAATCTTCAAACCCTGATAGAGCGCACTCAATTCAGCAAAATTAGCAGTAACACACCCTATCAGCCCTGTATACGAGAGGAGAATATTACCTTCACAGTCACGTATAACTCCCCCAATGCCTGCTAACTTGGGTTACCAAGCAAGCTACCATCAAAGTTGAGTTTCAAAGTACCCGCAGGTAGCGCCATCCAAATACTTTTTGGTTTGCACCGAGTGATACCCGTAAGAAAAAGATTGCTAAGGTTTTCTATTACATCAATCTTAGAAACTCCCCAGCCTGCTTTTGACATGAATAGCTATTCCCATATAGGGTGTTTAATATAGTGAATTAAGTTGTTCAAAGACCTAGACACTCCTTCAAACATCCTTCTATTTCTCTCTTTCCAGAGTTCCCAAAGGACAACTCCTTTAGCTATCCTCCACAAGGACTGACCTAATGCAGGTAAATGCAGTAAGGATAATTGAGTAACAATACCATCCACAGCATAAGGAAGGGCCAAATTGATGTTCACAACCTCAAACAACCAATACCAGATTTGAACCAAAAAGGGACAATGTATAAACAGATGTACTCCAGATTCACCATCAGCTTTGTACATTAAACAAATATTTGGAAGAATTTTGCCCCTTTTAATCAGGTTGTCAATGGTTAGGACCTTTTTCAGAGCAACAAGCCAAATTAACACATGCATCTTGTGGGGAATAGGCCATTTCCAAACTTGGGCAATCAGAGGGCAAGACCATCTCCACCGATCATGAAAAGGAGATTATAGCAAAATTTAATAGTGAAGATACCATCGCTCTCAATCTCCCAAATCCTTTCGTCCTCTGCATTTGGCGTGATATAAATTTTATCTAACAATTCATTAGAGCACACCATTGAGCAAAAAGAGAATCATTAAGCCTATTACGCTAAGGAGACATTCTATGAGGAAGATTCTCCTCACCTTTCAACCACATCACAGACCTTAGCGTTGGGACTCTAAACGATCCGAAATATATCTGGGAAAATGGACTTTAGAGGATACTCCCCCACCCATTTATGATGTCAAAAGGATACTTTACTCCCTCGACCTATATACCTTCTGAAATAACCAGCAATCATGGGTCTACAATTTGCAATAGTTCTCCACATTTGCGAATAACCCGACCCCTACCTCCTGAAAGCCAAAGTTCAGATCTACCCATACCATATTTTGCGAAAAGGAGCTGATCTTTTAAATGAAGGCTCCTTGACCACCATTTACATAACAGGGTTTGATTTATCAGTCTAATGTTTCTAATTCCCAAACTGCCTTCCTTCTTAGGGATACATACCCTCTCCCATTTGAGGAGGTGATATTTACGAAGGTCACTGCTAGATCCCCATAAAAAATCCCTCATGATTTTTTCAATCTTTTCTGCTACCGATGCTGGCATATGGATAAGCGATAGTTGATACACTGGAAGATTAGCCAAGCAAGATCTTAAGAGAGTTACCCTACTGCCCAGAGATAGATACTTATGTTTCCATAAGTCAAGTTTAGTTTGGACTCTCTCTAACACCCTATTCCACACTGCTATGGATAGTCTTGAATCCGAAATTGGTAGCCCAAGATAAATAAGAGGAAATGAGCCCCCTTTGCAACCCATTATACTCGCCAAAGTAGCAGTCAAAGCCTCGTTATAATTGATACCAACCAAAGTTGATTTGTGAAAGTTCACTTTAAAGCCAATTGTGACCTCACAGATTTCTAAAAAAGTAGCAATATTCTTGACTTGCAAGTGTTCCGCATCACAAAAAATGAGGGTGTTATTGAGCATATTGCAAATGAGAAATCACCATACCAGAGTTAGCAATGGGAAACCTCGAAAAATGTCTCATCTTTTCTACATTATTCAGTATTAAACTAAAACATTATGCATAAATAGTACATAAGAAAGGAGAGAGGGGGTCCCCTTGACAAAGGCCTCTACACGATTTGAAAAAACCAATTGGGCTACCCTTGAATAACACTGAAAAATGAGCTGAAGAAAGACTTGTTTTTACATGTTTATAAGGAAGCTAATAATGTGGCTGATGGACTACCAAATTTTGAGGTTTAAGGAAATCAAGGGTATCTAGAAAGCAATTATTATATGAAAAGGTTCATATAAGGTGTAAATCTTATATTGTACGAGTAAGGTGAACCTTAAAAAATTATTGGAAAAGGTTGTTTTTATGCTGGACAACCCTCAAATCGATCATCTGAACCTCGAGATTCATAGACATGAAAATTAGATTTCTAATCCTAAAAATAGTTCATCTTTTAACACATTTTTTGGACTATCCATTTTCAAGGTTTTCAAGTGTTTATAGATCTGCTTGATTATCACCATTTCAGAAATGTTAAATTTAATAAGTGGGGATAACAATATATTTTCATATCATCACAAGGCTTTCCTGCACCAAAACTACATTTTTGACATACTTTTGAGGTGCAGCTACTTCAATAATATAAGGTTGACACTTTATACAAACCTCACATATTATTATTAAATGCATACTATTACCACTTTATTTATATTCATATGAAAGAGTAATATGAACTTACTATAAGTTTAATAAACGTCATTAATTAAGTAATTAATTAACTAATCAATTCTTAATTGAATAATTAATATGTTTTTGGGTGTGGTTTCTATAAGGTTGCAACTTTAAACAATCCAATTAAGGCACACCCACAAATTTTAACTTATCATGTAATTTTGTTGTAAAAAATTATTAAGATTATAGGAAATCCATTTTTATATCTAAATATAAAATTTTAAATTTCAAAAATGGTTAAAATCAAGTAGATCTATAAACATATGAAAATCTTGAAATTGACGGTCTAGATAATGTGTTGTGAGATGTACTATTTTTTGGGATTTAAAATTCTTTTTTTTTTTTAATATTCATATATTTAGATATTGAGATGATCAATTACCAGGTTTTTCAACATTAAAGGAACCTTTTCCAATGGATTTTTGAGGTGGTTGCAACCTTTTATAAACTTTTTCCATGAATGATGTAAATTATTCCAGTACACTAAAAGGCCTTCAGGGGTATAATGGACATTTCAAGAAAAAAGACGCCATCGCCACTCCACATAAGGGTTATGGGGAAAAAGAAACCACAGATGTTATTTAAATTTGACAAATATGCCATTCACTAAAAAGGGGGGAAATGGAGAAGAAAGGAGGCGCAGAGAGTGGGAATTTAGAACAGGCCTTAGTCCATTTGGTGCACGAATACAACCACAAGACCCTTTTTATCAGAGAAAAAACAGGTGTTATTGCTCTTTTAAGCCACATATTTCCGTTGGTTTAATCTAAATTACCAAAAATTTGGCTTTTCTTTTACTAGGAATAATTGTGTTAATACAATTCAATCAGTTTCTTCGTAGTAGTAATTCAATGGGCATAATTTTTTCTGTAATATTTGTTTTTTCATGGCATATAATTGCCCTTCTGCTGAAGAATAAGAAAAAAGAAAAGAAAAGAAAAAAGAACCTTTAGATTCCTGTTTTGTGAGAAATTATGTAAAGTGTTTGTTTTTCTATTGTTTATCGAGACACCCACAAACCAATTGTGCCAGGTATCCATGGACTGGTGCAACTTGGGATCATGGGTTTTGTGAGATTCAAATTGAATGCATCTTAGTTTTATCATTAATGTACCCTGTATTTTTCATTTTTGGTGGATTCTTCCTGTTTAGATGATTGTGTATACATTGTATTTGATTAAATGTTTTGTTGAATACCATTGCATCCAGTTTAAAATTTTTAGTTCTTCTTGTGGTTACTATGCCATGCACTTATTGGTTGTATTCAATACTTTAATTGGGTTGATCATTACCAGCCATGTGCATAGGGCTGAAGCTGCTCATGGGCTTCTGAATGTTGTCTTCATCACATTCAGTTTGGCTGTAAATTTGTTGCTTTAGATTGTTCATGCAACATATGTAGAATGCTAAAATGTCAAAACCAATAAATGTCTTGGCTCTAGTTGGGGCACCCAACAAATCAACTACATAAATTAATTTCAGCACAAGTATGAAAGGCACCTTGGAATGGAATTTTGAAGTATATTTAACAATGCTGGTGCAAACTCATTCAATTACTTATGAATCTGATCACAAGGAACCATGAAGCAGTCCAAAATGGATTACCAACATTCTATGTCTCATAATTAGCTAATTGTCCATCCTGGAATTATTGAAGCTTGGTATAAACCGATCTTATCTGTGTTGGTCTCCTCAAATTAGTTGGGAAGGTTAGAGGACGTTATCTGATACTCACTATAACTCCCAACTACATGGACAACTTCTAATGCTCAGAGGATTAGTATTTTTCCCTTAAGTATGAAGAGGAGTGGTGAGCGTTGGTGGCAAAAATCGTTTTAGCATTGATGACTATGGGGATTTATTTTCTTGATCATGCATCTTCAAATGAAGATTAGGACTTGGAGTCGTCCTAGTCTCATTATATCTTGGATGGAAAAATTTGATTTGGTGGCTGGGAACTTCTTTCTTCAATGCTTAGTTTTTTTCCTAATTTGAAAATTCTTTCTCCAATATTAAGGTAAAGAAAATTTCTCCAATACTTTTTTGGGCCTTTGTTCATTTACTTGGTCATCCTTGATTGCTGAACCCACTATCATTTCCCTTGATATTCTGGCAACAAGCTTGAAATCTGTAAGTAAAACATGGCCTTCTTCTTCTTTTGGGAGGGGTGATCTGGGGTGATCTTGTGAGATCCATGGTAGTCAAGTTGTCTTTCTTGTCATCTTCAGTTGCCTAAGATGTTTAAATTTTTCAAAACAGTGCATATAGAAATTATTCTGTACTTCTCTTATGGTTTCAAATTACTGGATACTTCATAACCTCATCGATTATGTTTCTGCTTGTTCCTGTTTTTCTTTGGGTGTGATCAAATGCATCAGAGGTTTTTTCTCCTTAGTTAGTAGTGGTGCAATTTGGCTGAGGAGTCTAAGTATGAAGTGCTGGTACTACAGAAAGTAGCAACCAAGTTGAACCCACCATGCAACTTCAATTAAATTTAAGCAATGTCAACATCCACTTTATTATATAATGAATGAACAACTTACAACCGAATGTACTAAGAACCAATGAAAAGAATAGAAGTAAACATAATGATGAGTATAGGAACTAACGTGGATTTAGGGTGGAATTTCATCATATTGCCAAGGCTGGCCAAAACCATCATTGGCCATATGGTACTCTTCACATTCTTCAGATTATGCATTGATCACACCCTGGACATACATTTTGGGCTTGAGCTTGGCAAAGGCACATGTGATACTTTCTTGGTTATTTGGTAACTTTCTTGATAGAAAGCACATCTTTTGATGATTTTGTCATTGTAAACTGTGAGTTACATGGAGAGAAACAAATAGTTTGATTTTCAGAGTGTATATTCTAACAATGAGGTATACAGGGCACAAAATAATGATTGCATCATTTCTTGGGGTGTAGTCAACAAGTTGTTTTCTCGAAATATGGTGTATTATCTGTTTTTAATATGAAACATGTTGTCACAATAATTTGAAGCCTTGTGCACAATATGAGCTGTTCTTGGGACTTAGATCTTCAGCATTGGTGGTTGCTTCCTTTGAAGCCACCGCCCTGTGGAACTGTAGCCCATCTGTTGTAGGGTTCCTCTTTAGGGGTCAGAAGGATTTCTTCTTAAGGTATTTGTGAGATAGCAAATGATTTCCTTGTAAGGTCTTATTCAGAAAGGGGAGAGTTGACTTCTTAGCCATTGATCACCACTAGTTGCTCCCTTAGAATTTGCTCTATATGTATTTGTTTTACTTACCCTATTCTGGTACTACAGGTATGTGGCATATTATTTTATTTACCAAAGATAAGATGCATGTAATTCTCGGTACTGCATGCATCTGACATATAGTACTATGTACTAGGATTTTGTTGTACAGATTATTTCTCTGAAAAGGAAAGAAAAATGTGGAGTATACAATGTTTACCCTGCATAACTTTGTTTATAAGAAACTGAGTCTGCCGTCAAACCAAGTTGGGCGATTGTTGTAGTCTTGTAGATGAAATTGTTTGATGTACCGGTTTCTTGGTCCATCCAGAGAACCAAAAAATTAATGAGAAATGGACTTATTTATATTTAGCCCTTCTTCTATTTACCACCATTGGCCGGGCCCATACTGGTTCAATTTTCTGACAAAGAAAGGGTAGCCTCATTGGCATGGCTATGTAATGCCTATGTTGCACAAGGTGGCGTGGCTGTGCGACCACTATTTCATAAGCAATACTAGACAACACTATGTTTATGTGGGGTTCATCGTAGTGCACATCTTAATACTTCTTTATTCAACAAATAAGGATGGCAATGGATTTTTGCTTCTTAACGTGAAGTCATAAACTACCAAGAAATGCAAAAGTCAAACATAATGAGTTGTTTTTTTTATTTTATAGAATATCAATTTCTTAAAAAAATTTAATTACTTAACTAAAATATGAACTAAAGGAGAACAAAAATATTTAAATATTATAGAATGACTTTTTTTAAAATATTTAATGCAAATTTAAATTTTAAAAATTATGAATTAATCAGAATGTTGTATGGATGCTCTGCCGACCTAGGGAGACCTAGTAATAGTCTGTAATTTATGCATTTTGAATTAACTTTTATGGTTTGTGAACAAACTTAGCAGCATTTTGATCATATTGTACTCACACCATTTTATTTGATGTCCCATTTTTTGGATAGAGAATGCTAAGAAAGATGCTTTGAGGAGTGGGCTTCATGTTTCGGGACTTCTGGTTGATAGTGTTAATGGTGGGGTGCAAGAATCCTTTATAAATGAGAAACGAATTGAATTTGAGACACGTGCATTGGCGAGTACTATCATGCGCTATACAAAGCAAACAAATCAGTGGCTTGCTGCTTCCCATGCTATCAACTCTGCGATAAAGGTGATATCTCTTCTGATTTGTCAAAAACAAAAGGTGATATCTCGTCATTAGCCTTCATTCTTTATGTTGTGGCACAAATTAGGTCTGCTCATTTTTTATATCACTGGGCAATCAATCTATACAAAATTTAATTTTAAAATCCTGTTCGTGGATGTGTTCCCACTCTGGAATGGAATTTTCGTAAGTGATTGTTTCATCTTGACTGTCGGGGTTCCAACATTTTGGACTCCATGCCATCGTGTTAGGGTTGGGGTTTGAACTTATAAAGTGCTTAAGTTGGCTCAATTTAGATGGAACTAGTGTTTTAAAAAACGCCGAGTCGAACCGGACTCGCCCGGTTCGACTCGGAAATCGTGAAAAGGGGACCGGATCGCCTAAAAAATCGGAAATCGTCCGGTTCTAGAGAGAACCGGACGATTCTGTACAGTGAATCGCCGATTCACTGTACGGAATCGGCGAGTCCAGTACGGAAATTTTTTTTTTTTTTGTTTTGTTTTTGTTTTGTAATCCATTATAGATTTTTTTGTAATACTTGATCGATTTTTTTGTAATCCATGATCGAATTTTTTGTTTTTTTGTAACCCATAATAGAATTTTTTGTAACCCATAATAGAATTTTTTGTAATCCATGATCGAAATGTTTGTTTTCTTTTCTTGTAATCCATGATCGATTTTTTTGTTTTTTTTTTTTTTTGTAACCCGTGATAGAATTTTTTGTAATCCATGATCGAATGTTTTGTAATACATGATCGAAATGTTTGTTTTTTTTTTGTAATCCATGATCGAAATGTTTGTTTTTTTTTTTGTAATCCATGATTGAATTTTTTGTTTTTTGCTTTTTTTGTTTTTTGCTTTTTTTGTAACCCATGACAGAGTTTTTTGTAATCCATGATTGAATTTTTTGTAATCCATGATCGAACTGTTTTTTTCTTTTTTTGTAATCCACGATTGAATTTTTTGTTTTTTTTTGTTTGTTTTTTTTTTTAATCCATGATCGAATTTTATGTAATCCATGATCGAATTTTATGTAAT